ACCACTCTGCCAAAGAGGCGGTCCAAAAAAAACTTCGAAAATCTTAACAAATAAATGACCAGCGTCGTCTCCACACTTCGGATACGACCCTGTTCTTTCCGGTGAAGCTAACGTGTGCGTAACACGTGGTCCTGTAGTTCTGTAGGTAGTGACAAAAAAACGGACAGACACACAATGAAGACGTTACCCTTAATCTTGTCCCTTTGAAGACATGGCCTTAATTAAATATTTCGGACACGTTCGGTGATTAGGTTAGTATCCGTTCTGGTGATTCTTGGTGATTTTAGATGTAGTTAGTAGAATTTGTTGTATAAATAAAATGGTTGTAAGCAGGATCGTGAATTCGGATCGTAGGATCGTAGATCGTACATTAAAATTCGATTCCCGCATGGAACAACAGTTTGTGCAATTCACAAATTGTTGTTTCGGGTCTGGATGTCATTGTGTATATGAACTTGTATGTTTGTAAACGCACCCACGACACAGGTAATCCTAGTGTGGAGCAAGGTTTTTTAAGAAAAGAAAAAAAAAATTAAGCAAAATAACAATTTTAAACTTTATTTCTTCATCATAGAAGTTAATTCAAAGGACTCATCAACTCATCGTGCGAACAAGAAAATATGTACAGTAAACGTTTACCCGTATCATAGTTTATGTTGTACGAAAATAAACTTTATTCCCTCTACATAATACATTTCTGCGAAGTCATATTTCTTATTTCGATCATAACAATATGAAGTTTATTAAACTTAAACGCTAGATCCGTAAAATATTTCTCATCCGTTTCTCTGTTGTAAAATGGTAGTTAAAATATACCATTCATAGATAAAGATAAAGACATTTATTTGCGTAAAAACATGGTGTACAAAGATGGAAACGAGGTATTATTGGACTAACAAGGTATTAAATAATACTACTAATTTGTTAATCATTAGTTAATTCATAACTGTTGAATAAAATTGACGTTACACAGTTTTTAATATGGAAAAATTTACAAATCTTTAAAGTCACTTCTCAGTTACAATTTATCTAGTCCTTTTATATGGGATAAGTCGGTAAACGAGCAGACCGATCACCTGATGGTAAGCAATCGGCGTCGCCCATAGACAGCCGAAACACCAGGAGCGTTACCAGTGCGTTACCGCCGTTTTGGGAATTGGAAAAAAGTCATCAGGTGTATTGGTAACTACAATCTTTAGCACTTAAAGTGGAGAAAATCATCTGAACAATAGCATTTGTGCATTGAACATAATAAAAACACACTATGTTTATTTAAAATAGCCTAACAAAGCTTCATGTCAAATAAACTGATAAAAATTTTTGTTCTTCAAACTTTAGGTATTAACCTAATTATTTGTAGTATCACCATGTCTTTTCGTTTGCAATGGATCAACATTTATGATTTGGAACATATTATTTACAACTGTGATGTCAAACAAAGCCATTTCAATTATTTATTGGCACTAAACGTAATATTTCGGTCATGCGATACTAATTTTTTCCACATTCCATTTGAAATAATTTACTAGAAGATGGATTTTTTATCAAATCATTTCGTGTCAAATGAGTCGCGTCTAATGGTGGCACAGAGGGCACTCAAAACGTTACAGGGCACATATCTGTCGAAAATATAAAAGTATGGTCACCCGCGCCGCCCACCGGCGCCGGAGTCGATTAGACATCAGAATTATTGAGAAAAACTCTATTCTAGGCCATGAGTCAAGTAATGGAACATTTTATTGTTGTTTAATTTTTATTAGCTAATCGAATCGAGTTTTGAGGCGAACAATATTGTAGGGATCACACACGAACTAAATTATTAAACAAAATACCACTTTGACACGTTTTAGGAATTACGGAAAAATATTTTTACCACTCGCTATCAAAATGGCCGCCGTAGTCGAAGTACTCTGCGAGTTAAAAACAATATTTTTACGGCCTGCCTGTCTGTAAAATTTTAAAATGATTGATGTGCTAGTAATAAAATTGACATGAAAAGTTTAATCTTGGAAATATTTAATGGAATTTCACTGTAGCCGTAGTAATAATAATCATGGAGGTGGCCATTCGCATGACGTCTTCAATACGAATGAATGTTCTTTTAAGGTCCCATCCAGTGTTACAGAGATTTTAGATGACTTTAGACTTAAACTCTCTCTTTTTA